ACCATACTCCAACATCTCTCTCTGGGCAACATTGCCAGCCATGTGAATTGCCCAAGGAGGCAGGAATGAAGGAACTTGCTGCTTTATCCCTTCTGATATTCCTTTCTTAATAAAAACTCAAGCTAGCTTGCCAAACCGTAGAAACATTTCCAGTGGAATCTCTGCTTCTTGTTTTTTTTTTCTTTTTTTTTTTTCTTTTTCTACATGTCTTCGTTCATTGTTGTTATTCGGCAGATCTTGGTCAATCACTGAGCTTGGCACTATGGATGGACATGAAGATGAAGAGTCAATGATTCATGCCCCTGGGAGTTTACCAGGTCAGCCCCTCTTTATAGTGGTTTCCTAGGAGACACAAGAAAGCAGAAGTGGGCCAAGGATGTTGGCTTACCTTAGTGTCCCAGAAGGGTTTCTTAACTCTGCTAGTTGTCATCAGCTTTTCGGAATCATACTCCAGAACAAGATTTGTCTTTTTATTCCACTATGTGATTTGAAGAGTTGGCAAAGATAACTTTTCTTTCTCTGCCAAGTCCCCCACTCTTTCTACTTTTTGAAACTGGGTAATAATCTTGGCATGAAGACTATCTTCTGTGCTTAATACACCTTACCTCCTACCTTCAATGCAATGCATAGGCCAAATTGAGTCCAAGTTGCATTAAACATTCTCAATGTAAATAGGGACTATTCCTCTAGGAGTAGGAGAAGGAGGGCAAGAATTACAATCTACTAGGACTGAAACCAATTTTTTTTTAATGCTCAGCTGAGTGCAAATCTTCCCTCTTGTTGTTACTGCTGATTTTACTTAATTTTTTTTTCTTGTTATTTACTGCTAAATAAACTACATCAGTATCGGCTGGGAGGGTGAAGGGAGGAGGTATAGAAAGCGGGCTGCTGACCCCTGTTCTGTCCATCACCTGTAAATTGGAGTCTTGACAAGTTGACTTGCTGACAGCCTGGCAAGAGAGAGGTCCTGTGGTTCTGGGGAACTGGGGACTCTGGCTTGGTTGCCAGCCCTGGGGCTGGAGAAGTGGCATGGCTTCCTGATTATCTGTGGGTCTGAGCCCAGAGCTCACTCACACTTTCTGGCTGAGAGATGTTTTTTATTTCATTAGTGATCCATTTTAGTATTGATGGGTACACATAAAAGACAGGGAACTATTGATGCAAAGGGAGGCTTGAGCTTGGCTAGGAATCCAGGATTTCTTCCACTTCCACTGCAGGAGCTCCAAACATTGAGGATTTCAATTAACCCACCATGCCTAGCTTGCCCATGTCAGCCCTCATTACTGCTATCCTAGGATCCCAGGGCTGAATGAATATCCAGAAGTAAAGTGTTATTGCTGACCATCACTATCATCTACTCTCACACTCCTACAATTGTCCCTCTGCCTTGACTGGACCCTGCCCTATGCAAAGCCCCCAAAGCTGTCACTAACAGCAGTTCCACCAACACCCAGAGAGCACCTTGGGTAAACTGGCCTCCTCACTCACCTTCATCTGTTCAGGATTTCGAGTTTCTAACTTCACCAAATTTTGACTTCTCAGTCTTGCTATACTGTATCCTCTGACTCTCAGGAGCTTGGGATAGAGAAATTTTATAAAAGATAGTTGGGTGAGCTCAGTTCTGTTGTCAGTCACCTTCTCCATGTTCGCTATTGTTGTGTACCTATTTCAAGAACTCACTCAGGGCACAATAGAGAAATCTAGGGCCCCACAACCCTAACCACACTTCCCCTCCACTATTAACAACTGCTCCTCAGTTGGTCACTGTCACTGAAGACTTAAACCAGGGAGATATTTACTATTGTTTGTAGCTTTTGGACAGAAGAGTTTGTCTCTTCTTTTTTAAAAAGCTTGATCATTTACATATCTTCATTTTTTTGGAGAGCACAGGCTTAACAGGTGACCCATCTTACCCTTAACTTTGAGGTAACAGTTGACACTTTTTAAAAGAAGAGTTAGCAGATAATCTGCCTTGAAATGGAACAGGCCACCTACGGACCTAACCATAACACAGCACAACATGACTCAGCCTGTCTGGAGAAAGAAAATAGATATTTAGTATAAAGAGAAGATATAAGCAATGGAACAGTTGGTTATATAAGTTGTAGTAAATGAAAATATCGAGTGCATTTTAAATGATTAATGTATGAAAACTGTCATCACTTAAGGTGCATTAATCAAGAAAAAATGCACGCTTCACATAGTGGTTAATGTCGCAGGCCCATTGTTCAGCTTTGATAATGTGCATAATAATGCTCAGTATGACAATGAGTTGGGGTAGCTGAAAATTTAGGATGGTTGCAGTTCCGTGTAGTATTTGGATTAGCATCTTAATCTGTGCCTTGTCAGCCTCATCAGTACACAAGCTAGGTATTTTTTTTTTCCAAAACTAGCAAAAATAAGGATGCGTTTTTTAAAGATTTTTTTTTTTTAAAGATAGAGAATAATGACCAAGGTACCTGCTTAAACAAATACTACCAGCATTCATTAGTTAGGATGGTTACATGTAAAAGAAATGATGCCAGATAGTAACAAATCCAAGAGAAGTTTATTATGAAAATGGCACCTGCGGATGAAAAAATTAAGTTACATAAAAGACAACCATGTATGTGACATGTATGAGAATCTACAAAAGTATAAAAAGAACCCTGTTGTAAATGAAGTATGTACATTTCTGATTTGCAGCATTATCAATGGTCAATGAAAAAAAAATGTTTCAAAATAAGCCAGGCACTCAGGAAGTTAGGTCCGGTTAGCTTCACACAAAACAAATGTACCATCGCTGTCGCTTTGTAACGTTTTAATTATTTTTTTTTTATATATATCGTAGAGTTGGTAACACTGCTAAGATTTTTTACGAACAGAATATCCCTTTCCCCATTATTCAGCTACTTGGCACCAGTCTCCTCATAAAAGTTTTCATATATTTGTACAAGAAATAGTTAAAAACACAGACACAGTCTTCACAGGTAATGAAGTGTTTTTTTTTTTTTTCATTTTGTAATTTTAAACACTATGGATTTAGACAGCAGCTGTGATTATCTGTTAGTTTAAATCACCAGAAATCATTTTGACACAACACAGAAACATTTATAAAAGAAAAAATAAAACAGCTGTCTAGCTGTTCTTTGTAGCTGATAGGTGCATTCCTTTGATTGTTCGATAGCTAGAGTAGAGCTTCCAAAATTAATCTTTAAATTTCTCCATCGGCCTTCTTCACCTTCTACACCACCTAAGTCCTTCAGGGAAGTTCACTACTAAAAGTTGTGGCATTTAACTTCCTTCTGCTATTATTCCAGCATGGCTTGGGCCCAACTCACAGAATCAAAGGTTCGAGAGGAATCCACTCAACACAGTGATATTCAAAGGACAGCCGAGTTACTATATTAGCATTGCACGAATAAACAAATATATATGACAATTCTATATTCCATTACCCCCTCCCATTTTGTTTTTTAAAAATGTTGGTTGACCTTTGAAATAATTTTCTGTCTCACTGGTAATTGCTTTATATATTGCTCCATCAGCCAACCTGAAAGGAAACCAAAGAAAAGCACCCACTGCTTATAGGTAGAGCACAAGGGACTCTGGGAATGTTAACAACTGAGGCTGTATGGCATCGATTTATTTAATATATCTGAGCATTATTCTTCAGTGCTTTGCGTAGCACTCCAGAAGAGAGAGAGAGAGAGAGAGAGAGAGAGAGAGAGAGAGAGAGAGAAAGAAAGAGAGAGTCATACCCAGAATTCCGTTGTGGGAAAATGGCTCCATTAACCTTGAGCTAGTTAAGAGTCTTTTTATCTCTGAGAATGAAAAAGATTTTGGGGACAGGGGAAGGAAAGTAGAGGAGGGGGAAAAGGGAGACAGGAAAGGGAGGGAAAGAAAGGAGAGATAGGGAGAATATACACCAGCAAAGCAACAGCAGGAATTTAAAAAAGTAAAACGGAGGATTCACAGACAGTAGAAGCAGTATAGGGTGACATTACAGAGGAAGGCCACCACACAAAAACCACTAACCCCCAAGAATCACTGATTCACTAGGACTGCAGGAATGGGACTGTACCACTCCAGACTAGAGATAGAGCACAGAGAAGACAAAGGACAAAACAACTACATTAGCTTAGTATATACTGCATATAGAAACACACATTGAAACTGCAATGGGACTGACAGCCAAGGACACGTACACACCGTACACATTACAGTTCTCACATCTGTTATTAGATGCCTTAACAAACAGCTGCCAAAAATGAAGTGGAAGAAGAATTTATACTTGACAGTCATTTGGAGTGTTTGACACCACACTGATTTCTGGCAACAAAGACAAAATAGGATATTTTTTTCTTTTTCTTTTTCTTTTTTTTTTTCCTTTTTAAACTTAATGTGCAGTTTTCAGTTGCAGTTATCTGTCTGAAGCTTATTAACCCATTCTTTAGTTTTAAAACTTATTGGTTTCAACTTAGAAATTAGAACCAAGGGAAATAAATTCCATCAAGTCAGTCCCCCAAAATACAAACCGTTTTTTTTTTCAGCAAGAAATGAAACAAACCAAAAACATGTTAAATACTTTTCCTTCCTTTACTCTGAAGTGTTATTGAAGTTGCAAAATTAGCCTCAGTTAGACTGAGTAAGGGGGAAAAAAAAGCTCAATAAAAGGCAGTATGTACCTAAACTGCTCCTCAAATCAGTTTGATTGAGTTTTTCAAAAGCCCCCCTTTAAAAGGGCTTTACTGACCCATTAAATTTAATGTGAGGCTATGTTTGTTAGTTGGGAGGTAAAAAACTTTAAGTCCTGCAGCAAATGTTAATGAGGGCTTTGTCTTAACTAACCAAGGAGACTGCAGCAACGGACTCCAGACCAGGACAGAACACATTTTTTTTTTTTCCCAAAACCCAGCCCAGGAGCTGCATTTTGTATGAAGACATTACAGATTAATAAATGATAGCACCATGGTTTTAGAAATTAAGTTAATGTTTCAGTAATTAACATTTAGTCCAACTTTTTTTTTTTAAACATTCTAGTCACAGGCCAGAAATTAAGTTTAAGAACCCAAATTATTTTTATGTGCAAGTAAGAAAATCTTAAAATCTTAACCATAAAAAGAGAATTAAATTCTGCATAAAATTCTAAAATACTATTTCCCTATTTTTAAAGGAATTAGGAACAGAAACAACAACAACAAAAAAMCCCACCCCATTTCATTTGACTTAGTCAAACAGGGCACATTGTTTATGCTTGTCTCTTTCCATCTTGATCATATCAAGATCTTTATGAAGAAAACCCAATGGTTGTCACTTGAGAAATCTCTTGACCACAAGACTGAGTATTCTATGGCAGAGGCATATACACATTAAAGACATCTTAATAAAGATGCAAAGGAAAGCAAAACAACCCAACACACATCTTAGAAGAAGACAAAATGGCAGGCAACTGGTCATCTGACCCTCTGAAGGCAAAAAAATAAACATATCTTTACAGGAAAGAATAAGTCACGTTAAAGAAAGAGGGGATGGAATGGGGACCATCGTGTTGAAAGAAGACGCTGACCTGCTCGAATTCAAAGTGCTAGAATTAAAGGTCTAAACGAAAACGCCAACGATGCCTCCTCCGAGCGGACCCTGCGCACCCCGGGCGGGCGGCGCCTCAGTCCTCCTTGCGCTCCAGAGTCTGTGCCGCGTGGATGCCGTTGCTGTAGACCGGGAAGGGCAGCGTGGAGAAGAGTCCCTCGGCCGTGGTGAACACGTTGCCAGCGGGCATCTGCGTCAGGCTGGCCGCGCTCACGGCGCCGCCAAACGGTCCCGACATGTTGAGCCGGTGCACGTGGTGGTAGAGCATCTCCATGGGCGTCTTGGGGTCGAGGCCGAAGCCGGGGCTGTTAACGTCCACGAAGTTAACAGCGTGCGCGTTGGGCAGCAGGTTGCCCTGCATGGCCAGGGTCACCTCGGCGGGCGCATAGCGGATGGTGCCCGTGGTGTAGACCCTCTGTGCCGCCGTGCTGGTGGCGGCCAGGGTCCCGGTCACCCGGTGCACCAGCGGGAGCACGACGTTGCCCGCCTGCAACCTCTGCAGCGCCTCCAGGTCCCCAGTGTACAGCAAGGAGTTGGACGCGCTCGGACCACCACTGCTGCCACCGCCGCTGCCGCTGCCGCCGCCCCCAGGGTGCTTGTCCCGCGGGGACGCCGAGAGGGGGGGCGACAGCGGATCGGAGGCGACAGGGGCCAAGGCCGTGGTGGCCGAGGTGCTGAATTGAGTCTTGCGGGCAGCCGCGCCGTCGGCGCCCGGCGGGGTGAGGACCGAATCGGGGATGGCCACGTGCAGCCCCCCGCCGCCCCCGCCGCCCTGCGGGGACGGGAAGTGCTCGGAKCTTGGGGGCTTGGTCATGCTGTAGGGAGACTCGTTCCTGGAGATCTCCCGGTTGGGCGGGTAGTTCCAGATGCTGCTGTCGTTATCGAAGTTGATAGGTTCCGAGATCTCCGTCTTGATCTTGAGCACCGAGGCACTGTGGGGGGAGGACAGCAGCCGCGGGGGCTCCACCAAGCCGGCGTCCAGGCCGCCAGGGCTCGACGCACTGGACAGGCGCCGGCGACTGGTGCTGCCGCCCTTCTGCCGTTTCCGCCTCTTCTTGCGCTTCTGATGCTTGCTGGAGGCCTGCGCGCCCGCCTCGCCGGCGCTGTCCGAGTCCTTGGCGCTGTCGGACGTGAGCGACTCGCAGTTCTGCAGCCGCAGGTCCGACTCGCTCTCCACGTAGCGCTCCACTTTGATCTGCATAGGGCCCAGTGCACCGAAGCCGTCCTCTGCTGCCTTGGGGTTCTCAAAGTCCGAGTGCTCGAAGCTGTCGTCGCTGTCGCGGCTGTCCGGATTGCTGGAGCTGTGGCCGTCGTCGTTGCAGTTCATGTCGTTGTCGCACGCGTTGCCTGACTTCTTCCGGTCGGGCTCTGGGTCTTCGCTGTTCTCAGACTGATTCCCCTTCTCATCGGACTTGGAGTTCTCATTGTCCTCTGCGTGGGGCCAGCCGCCGGGGTGACAGGGTGGGTGCGGGGAAAGGAGAGACAGAGAGAACATCCCGTTAGCAGGGCAGAAACCACAGTGGGGCAGGGAAGGTACCATCTTCTGGTGACTTAAAGCCTGGACTTTCTGTGTTGAGGGCCTAGATTAGCAGAAGTTTTCTTGGAGGGTGGGCATGGGCTAGCAGCATGGGCCTCACCTGGACACCTGGTACAAAGGAAGAATCTCAGCCCCTCTTGGCCCCACTGAATCATGTATTGCATTTGAACAAGCTCCCCAGGAGATTCTAAGGCATATTACAGTTTGAGAAGCCCTATAATGATACCTAGAGAATGAGTAACCTGCAATGAGGTGCTAGTTTCAAAGAAAAATGAAGGCATACAAAGTGACACTTTGAGAGGTCTGCACCTTCTGCTGGTGAATATTTTTGTTCATTATTGAAAACTACACTCTGTTCTATTAAATTATTTTTATCCATAGCACTTAGGATTCACCATCTGAGTCACTGTATGACTTTATTTGCTTCTATCTCTTCCCCCATCTAGAATATAAGCCCTATGGTGGTAGGGGATTTTTGTCTGTTTTGTTCACTGTTATAAATAGGAGCAGAGACTATTCTAGAACTTCTGCCATAGTAAAGAACTTTCAAGTCAATACAATTTAGGAGGTAGGAAAACAATCAAGATTCTCCATGAGTACTCTTCACTTTCTCTTGCTTTTCCAAGGCTATGTCTAAAGTACAGGCATTCCAGTTGAACTTGGAGCACAGGTGCCCTGATGATAGGGGGTGTGGGGGAACTCTAATAACCTCCCACATTTTAGGAAGATTAGACTGTACCAGTAAAAACAGTCTTAGAAGATTCAAGGATGATACTGATTTTTACCACTTTGCCATGACCATTTTGGATGTGGTTGGGATTAGAACATTGGGCAAATCATGTAACTCTCTGGCCTTCACTTCCCTTTTTGTAGCAGAAGAGATGGGGTTAGAAAAGGTTTAGCAATTTTTGCAGCTATAAAAATTTGCCAGTTCTGGGCTCCCTGGCTCTCCAACATCTGTGGAATGGAATTGGGGATAGGAGGAAAAGCAAATTTTTGCATTAATTTTCCTGAACTCCAAGTAACTATTTGCAAAGTCTGCTTGTCAAACTGCCTAGAAAGGGGAAAGCATGGATTTGTTCTGATAATTGAGAAAATGAGTAACAGACCAGGTGTCCTGGCCCATGCCTGTAATCCCTGTGACTCGGGAGGCTGACCAGGAGGATTGCAAGTTTGAGCCCAGCCTTGCCAATTTACTAAGACTCTCAGCAATTTACTGAGACCCCCATCTTAACATTAAAAATAAAAAGGACTGGGGATGTAGCTCAGTGATAAAGTAACCCTGAGTTCAATCCCCAGTACCAAGGGAAAAAAAAAAMAACAAACCAAAAAACAGCATCAACAAACAAAAAGAAAATAAGTAATATTCTAACAGCGTGACAGGCATTTATAGATGCCATTAAGTATCCTACTTTAGGAGTTCAATCCCAACTTGGCGAAGGTATGAACATTTGTGGTGCAAAGTCAGACACTCTTGGAGGTAGCTCTCTGGTGCCTGCTTCCAGTAAAGAGGCCACAGCGCTATGGGGTTATAGCATAGCTCCTCTACGTGGTCAAGGAAGGTCTAACATTACATAAGTGATTGCTAAATCAGTCTCTTGCCCTCTGTATGTTTATGTTATTTTATATATACACACTCTCTCTCACACATATATATCACAACATACACACACATATTTATATACAATGTAAATATATGCATTTGTATATGTAGAGAGAGGAGACTCAGTAATAACTTGATGTACTTGGCTTTGACCATGGCCCTTGACTACTGCCCACCCTTCCCTTTAGACAAGGCAGTCATAACTATAGAACATGGAGGAGAAGTAATACCTGTAATACCTGAGGTGTCTTTAGAGTCTGATTCAGAGTCGGATGTCTCAGAAGATTCAGAAGTTTTCTCTGGCAGGTGGGGGAGCTGTGCGATGTCCATGGGCGTGTCCTTGTATTCAGGATTACTGTGGGGGAGGGAGACATTCCTTAGGAGTGCAGTCACCTTTTCTGAATGGTTTGCTTTGGACCACCTTCTCCCAAAATTATGGAGTTTAGAAAGTTTAGGAGACTAAAGAGGAAATCATTTCTCAGCTCTTCATGGGACTTTTACAGAAGCCTATATTGCATGAGCCAGGGTACAGGTGCACCCTGCGACAATGATTGAATACCCAAATACTGCATGAAAGCCACTAAAAACCTTTTAAATAATCAGCTACCACTGGAGGCCAGGGAACTGTGCTGCTTGACATTCCTCCCAGTATAACCCCTGGGGGGCTGGGAGGATGAGAAGTACTCTCAACAATTCATTCCCATACCTCCTGGTGTGCCCTACCTTCTCTTGGGCTCTTAATGAGTCCATTGCCTCAGTACCCTTGTCTTGGCCCCTTGATGTAACTTCTCAGCTGTTCAGATAGTTCCAGAGCTATTGGTGGGGGTGGGGGGCAGAATCTTCAGTGCCTAACGATCTGACAGATGCACAGGTGTACCTTGGGATGCATGGATTATGGCTACTGAACTGTCAACACACCCATTACAATCACATTTTCATCTGCTCATGTGGTGTACACCTGTGGCTTGTTAGCTGGGAATCTGATTGCAGTGGGGAGAGTCCCAGTGTGAGAGAGGCCCTAACAGAATGGATCTAACCCCATTTGCACAAATGTGCTTAATTTTTGGTCTATTTTTAATTCAGAAACAAGCCTCTTCTGGAAAAGAGAGCATGTTCGGTCAGTTCGAGAGCTAGTTGTCTTCTGGAAAAGCCACTTCCAGCTGGCCTGAAAGTGTATGAGCAACGTAGGCTGCTGAAATCTGAAGGCACAGGGAGGCATCCTGCCTTGGAACATGAAATGCCTCTTCTATCCTTCCTGGATGGCCAGCCAAGCAGAGACTTACAACAGATGATTACTGATTTGTTTTGCTAGCCTGTAGTGAATTTCCTATGTTAAAGAGTCACTATTTTGGTAACTACTTTAAAAACTGCAGATGTCCCTGGGAGAATTAATTCACAAAGATGGATTATCAGGCATTTACTCCTTAGTGTGAATTAGCTTCAGCATCAAAACTTTCTCCTGATAATCAGATGAGACTAATGGTAGGAAGGTGGACTTAGCACTTTGCTGTCTCTGAATACTCTGAGTCTATAATTCTATTCCATGTTATAAGGGAATGGGAATAATATTAGGCAGGTAATTTCAGGATAGAGAAGGATGAGCCAGGATGGGACCCAGAAGTAAGGGATTCTGGAAAAAAAGACAGTAGGAAAGTATTGCTTGGGAAAGAACAAAAGATCAGAATTTGGGAAAGAAAGCCAAACTTCAGTAGTTGCTATTTTGTCTAGGCAACGTCCTTTTCTAAGTAGATCTCCAGCCTACAGAATGACCTTCATGGGTGCTGGCTTGGTGGAATTTCCTCTGCTAAAAATCCATCAACATCAGTGTTCTTTACTCTAGATACCATGGGAGTTCAAGGGTCAGTGTCCTTCAGCTTACTGTCTCATGTCATCAACCTCAGGGTAAGTCTACCACATCTGAGACTCAGGCTCTGAAGATTGAAGCCTGGTCTATGATACTCAAACTGCCCCCTATCCATATGGAATTCGGTGAAGCAGAATTACCAAAGGCTTATGTACCATTTGACTCTTGGCTAGATCAATGGTGTTGATCCAAGGTTGTATAGATTGACTTTTCCTAACTCCCTCCATTTGTGGACAGAATAGGAAGTCATGAGGCTGATGAGACAGTAGGAAAGATTTAGATAGAAAAATATCTCACAGAATGGGCATAACCACCATATAGATGACTTCAGTACCTTATGTTAACATGGAAGACAGACACTTTCCAGCCTATAATGTTCTTGTCATCAATGCTTATTTCTTAATAGTAGTGGGTGTCATTGGCACAACACCATTTTTGCTCAGCCAAAAGAATGTCAATCCCACAATACCTTGTTCTATTTTCTGTTTGTTATAAAAGCTTTTATAACTTTCTAAAGGGGATAGTTTGCATGAAAATMAAGTCTTGGAGAAAATGGCATTAAATACACATACTTTTACTTTTAGAGGGAATTAATACAGAGCAGCAAAGGTCAAAAAAGGAAAAGAAAGTAGATAAATGAAGATTCTTTTAAGTGGTACCCATTAAGGCCCTCTCTAGAGCAATAATCATTAGTGTCTGATTGACACTAATGTCTTTGGAAGCAAGCACATTCATGCCTTCAAGTCATCACCAAAGTATGTGAAACACTGACAGGCCAGCATGCTGGTGAGCCATGGTTGTTAGCATCTCAGGTGTAGTTGGCTGTCTCAAAGAAAAATGGGGATTCAGGTAGTCCCAATCAACATTATCCACACAGGGCACCAACTTCTGCTCATTAGACCTATTGGATGTTTTCTCCTCAAACCATATGTGGGCCCTGCTTGGTGGCTTTAGAAGCCAAAGACTGGAATGACAGTGGTGGCAGAGAGCCAAGCCAAGCATTGTGATAGCTTCATGACAGGATTAGAGCATCTCCCAGAAGGCTTTTCCCCCAAACCCAGACCACCCTGTCTGTTGATACTGGTTCCTTTTCCACTTGCTTGAATCCAAAAGCAGAGTATAGATAGGGAAAGAGAGAGAAAAGGTGTCTCATACCAGAATTTAGGAGGCAGTTGACCTTGAACTCATACATGGATATAAATTTGAGGATACATTGTAAGAGCAGTAAAGCTTTCCTGAGTTCACAGAGCAGTAGGCAAAAGATTGTCTTCATTTTTTTTAATACTGAGATTGTCATTATTCTGGCAAAGCCACTCACTTTACCTCAATATCTAGAGAATCAAATGCTCTGAAATAGGCTGGGAGCATCAAAAGGATGAAATACAAGAGGAATATATTCTACCCTGCTACTTCTCCCCACATCTCCTTTTGAGCTTAATTCTCACAAGGCTGGGAGTATGTGGTGGAGGATAAGGAGGTGCTTTTTTAATGCTTCAGTTGCAGACAAAGGTCCATAGTCTTTTTCTGGTCTGAGCATTTGTGAGGAGATCAAAGCAACCTCTTTGGAGCTGATCATATGTCCACAACCTAAGAATTACTGAGCATCTTGCAAATCTTCTCTGCAAGATCCTTGCAAAAGTTTGATCTTACATTTCTTTGACTCTCATGGAACTAAGAGCAGAACTTCCATGAAATTCCATACCAAATAACATCTAAAGATAATACTTTCTACAACATGCCAGCTATTAACTATAGGGCTGCACAGTTTATAATTGAGACAGAAATAAAACAAGGAGAAAATATACCTAAGGAGATAATTCACCCAGATGATGTTCTTTTCATTTGCATTCTTGGCATTGATAGCTATGGTGGCACTAGACTGTATCCAGATATATCCTCCATTCTTCTGCATCCAACGGTAATACTTCGTCACACACTGACCCTTATTCAGCACTGGGGGGGGAAAAAGCAAGATAGAGGCATCATATTAAGACTGGGACCAAATGATTTTTCATTCCTGCAAAATCTTAAGTCTCAAAACAGAAGGTCCTGTACCAAGCCAGGGGTGCTCCTCTGTGTACTTAATGTAGGATCCCATTAGTAGGACAAATGAAATCAACAATTCAGTGGAGCGGCAGCTCTGGAGCCAGGGTTACTGGCATTAGTAGCAAGACTCTATTCCATTCGGGGCAGCCATGGTGTGAAAGGAAGCATAAAAGGACCACAAATCTTTTTGGCTCGAAGAATACCTAATGTGGTGTGGATATTGTCAATGGGTTTGATGTCAAATGGTAAGAAGGCAAATTTGTATGTGATTTATTCATAGCTTCAAGATAGCGCTCTTTTGAGGTTCTGGAGATTTGGTTCCAAAGCTGTTTTACCCCTCTTCTTTGGTCATTTGCCCTCAGTGCAAGCAGTATCAACTGGCATCCTTCTACACCTGGTCCTTTGATCTTGTCTAACAGCATTTATAGTCCCTGGATGAACTAAATTTACATTGGTCAGTCAGGGGAAATTCTGGTGAGACCGCTGAAGGTTGGAACAAAATAAATCCCCCAGTCGAGTCAGAGAAAAGCATTGGCCTAAGGGAGGCACAGAATTGACTTGGCTAGAGCCAAACAGAGTGACAGCTCCACACAGACTCTGAAATATGGCCCAAAATGAAGAACAAGTAAAAACAATCACTAATGTGAAACGGTGCCATTAAATACCCACTGAAAGGGAGCTTTAAAATGCAGATGTTAAAAATGATACTTTAACCAAAATCTTGCCAAGTTGAAATTGATTTGATTTGTATCTGGGTAGTCCTGAGCTAGTAAAAGGGGAAAGTGCAGTAAATCATCCTTTGAAATAAAGTGCTATGGATGGGAATGGTTTAAAAGGATGCCGGAAATGTGCAAAAACTGCTGTTATGACTTGGATACGGACAGCGGCAACACGGCGCCCCCCCCCCAAAGCTCACYGGCCGTCTGGCCACTAGAGGGCAGTGTGCACTCGTCTACGTGGCTCACTTTTGGCATGTCCTTGTCTCCGTCTGCTAAAATGAAAAACCTCTAACTGCTGTAATAAATTTGGCTAAATTAGCTGCTAAATGGTTATCTCAAGTAATATGTATTTGCATTAATCATCTTGCTCTAAACCAGAACAAGCCAGAGTCCTAAAGACGTAGTAAATTCATATTGTCCATTTAATTACGGCTAATAAGTGCTTCATATACAATAGTTTCATGAAGTACATTTTGATTTTTTTTTTTTGGGGGGGGGTGGATGGGTGAAGGGGAATCACTTTGGAAAAGAGCCGTGTCTCAGGCTGTAGAAACTCTTCCCATCATGTCCTGAGCCACTCTCCTGCGTCTGAGAGTGGTCTCAATTCAAGCCTCCTCTTGTTACATCTATGAATATACTTGCTTTCATGTTTTCTTGTCCTCTCCCTTTTTTTCCCCCAATACACTAAATGCATGGTTGTAAAGTTTAATAATTATGTCGGCACTGTTGCTTGAAAAAGGCTCACTTATGAGTGTTTCACTTGTGGTAAGTTCCATTCTGAAATAACCGCACAGTTTAGGGTATTTCTAAGGTCCGGAACTGTCACCTTCCCTTGGTGTCAAGGCTCCACAGGTAGCATTGTACTCTCCTTTTGTAGGCAATTGTAAGTTCTTCCATTCTGCATGCATGGCTTCCCAGGCTACAAAACTGCGTGGTGAAGCTGAAAGCAGTAAAATACTAACTCTGCCTTACAGCTCTTCTGTCAAACCATTGTTGCATGCAACAAGATGTGCTTTTATTCAGAGCCTCTCAACCTGGTTAACTATTAATCGAGGAATGATGGGTTATGTAATTCTGTCCACTCTTTTCACAGAGAAAACTTACAGCATTCCAAACAGTGGTTGGTGGTATATTTCTATCTGGAAAAAAGGGTAATTCCAAATGGTTCTAGTATTTTTTTTTTTTTTTTTAATACAAAGGCAAAGAGACTAAGATTCTCCTTTTGAGAATCACATGAAGAAAACATTGAGATGGTGGTCAGATCAGCTCAGTCTGGTTGGGAATTCTGGACTGGAATTTGACCAAAAGCAGGCAGGCAAAACTTAAAAACAAAACAAAACAATAACAACAACAACAACAACAACAACAAAAAAACCCCTTAGTATCCCCAGAATACAGAGTATAGACAGAGGCAAAAGAATAAAGAGATTGTAAAATCAAATTAGAATTTGTGAATCCACATAAAGATACCCCTGCCCTCTTTCCTAATGATACTTACTCTTACTCAAAGCAAGCAGACAAGCAAAATCTCAACTGTGAAATGGATATCCTGCAAAACATCTGCCTCCCTGGTGGTTTTCAGGTATGTGCTGTAAAGGGGGATGAAATGCTTATTTGCTAASGGGCTGATATGGTGTCACCTTTTAGAGATAAGGCAGGATGACTCAGTGTGCTTAAATGCATCTGTGTTTTCTGAGAAGACAAAAACTAATTTATTAGGGCCCATGAATGCATGCACACAGCCTTCCTTATCAAACCCAGGCTGGGGCCATCTAGCAGAGAGGAGACCTGAAAGACGGAGAGGCAGGACAGGTGAGTTTTGATGTGAAGAGGTGGCTGTAAAAGGATCAAAGGGCAAGGGGTTTCTTAGGGAGTCAGGGAGCTACCTGATTGCCCCTCAGTTCCCTTGGTGAATATCAATCAAGAAGCAGGTTTCAGAGCCCACCTCAAGCCATTGAAGAAGACAAGTTTGATCTAACCCACATTTACCCTGGGCTAGTCTGATAAACAGAACTCTTAAAGGGTAAACATTTTAGCATGGTCACAAGTCTGTATTGAAGATTTGTGTTTTGTGAATGAGATCCCCATGCATCATTAGGAATCTAGATAACTACTGATAGTGTATGAAATTAGCTACCACTAAAGCATGAAAAAGTTGACCAAAGTCAGTGCCCAAGTTGTTTTTCAGGAGGTCTCATAAAAGAAGTCACAATGGAATTTTACTTCTTTTAAAATGAACAAGGAATAATTTTTGCTTGGGTCTCCAGAATATAAATTTATGACTTTGGGATGAAGCTTATTTCTTGAAAAAAAAATCATACTGGCAAATCAGTTGGATCATTCCAGCTGTGCCAGAGGCAGGATCTGACAGCTTTTCCTGAGCTCATGTGGTCCTAATCAGCTCAAGAAGAAAAGCCACCTTGGTGCCAGTTTGAAAGAGATTTTTAGTGAGTAATAAATTAGAGAACTTGAAAAACACACAAAAACTTTTTTTTTTGATTCTCTTTAATCCAGTGGATGGTTTTTTTTTTATTTTCAAGTTTTAAGTTAATATAACACAGAGAAATGAGAAACTATTTGTCAATTTCATAATACCCCTTTTGTGGGGGAAAACCAGAATAAAGCACAATGTCAGTTATTTGACATGAAGTCCTTAAAAATAGTTAATTGTCCCTAGAAAAGAGATAGACACTCATCAAACTTTTGAGCCCAGGAGTAAATTCAAACCATCGAGGGAAGGAAACAGACGGAGAGGAATAGACATGTGGATATTTTTACCTTCACACCCATGAGATATGGTCTAAGTACTCCTAACACACAATGGCTTCTTTTTGGTTTATTCCAAAGTTTCCTTTTTGCTGTCCAAAATTTTTGGGTGGAGCAGCTGTGTGTCCTTCAACTGAATTCACTGATCACAAGATAACTTCTCTGGAGTTAGGTCTTTAAGGGTATGCGATAGGAATGAGTTTTTATTTAAGGATCTTGAAATTTTTAAGAAGCCTCTTTTTAGTTTTCACATCTGAATGGACCAGACATGACTGAGCATCCCTCTGCTACCACACAAGAATATGTTCCTTATTAATCTAGAGTGTAACTGGTTGCTTTGTCTCTTAATGCCCTAAGGAAAACCAAGCTACTTAGTGTCACCCTATCCTCCAAGGTAAAGGTACCTGAGACCTACAAACTGTGCTCTTTGGTGGACAGAGATGACCTTCTGTTTAGGAGAAGAATACAGCAGAGATGAACAAAGAAGTCTGAAATTCTCTCTTAGTTGAGCTGTACCAGTTCTGCTCATTGACAATTAAGAGAACCATGAGTGTCTCTTTGGCTTTTAGTCAAAATATTACTGGCTCCTAAGAAGATAGTTTGTTCAATCAAAGAAAATAAAGTGCTTACATTTTAGAGCATGTGACTTTTTACATTCACTCCCTCCCCCTGCCCACCCCCCCCCAAAAAAAAAAAACCCAACTGGATGCTAAGTTTTATTGAATATGCTTTTAAAATGTCACCTGGTCTGTTGGTTCAAGCTTAGTGGTTGGCATACAAGAAATGTTCTGCTTGTAGAGAATAATCACTCTTCCCCAAACCCGATGAGCTTTGTTGCTGTAGCGCACACCCACAGCCCTGTACGCAGTTCCCAACAGAGGGATTTCAGTTTTCCTTGGGAAAACTTTGTCCACAGACATAGACTGATGACTGAAAGGACATAAAGGAAGCCAGTGTCTGCGGCGGGAACATAATTCTGTTAGTAAATCAAAACAAATCAGTACAAGTTTGCCTTCAGAAATATGAAGGAAAAAAGAGAACATGGTCTCTTCCTGTTGGGCTGTTCTACAAAATCAAAGCCAAAGAGTCTAAATAGTGAGTTAGTTGTGTGTCAAAAAGAAGGAAGCAGTCGAATGCAGTTTGCAGAGGAGATGAAGAACACATATCAAAAGCGGTCTTTTAGCAGAGTGTCTCACAAAAGGACATTTTAGTGGTTTGCATATGCATTAAAAAGCTGCAATACTTGGTGTATTCAGGTAAGTATAGAAGAAATAGGAAATGGTGAGATCATCGGAGATTCCACACTTCACATTCACACAGCTGAACAAAGAGCTTCATTATCGTCATGGCAATATGAGGACGCATCTGCTGCACCACTCACACCCCCCCCCCCCTTGAGGTACCTTCATCAGTGGCTGCAGA